ATGGATCTCATTCAGTCAGTTGGCCAAGTAGCTGTCATTCAGATAGTTTGGCATAAATTAATGAGTACTCCATCAGCGGTTGAAGTAGTTCAGTTGACATTCTAGCAATTCCTGGAGCCATGTTTTTAGCTAATGCTTTCAGTGCAGCTTGGACTTCTTCCTTCAGCACCATTGGTTCTTCCTCTTATGCTTCTTCTGGAAATGGTGGAATGTTGACTAGTTACATATGTCCTGGTTTGTATATACTTATAGGACTGTGGTTGGCAAATTAGAATCTGCCTCTTTAACTATATGAACATGAAGCCAATGCTTAGTTTTAAATGTTTTGGATAGTAATTGCCTTGGAGTCAGTTCCAACTCATAGCAACTCCATGGATAGCAAATAGAACTGGTTCCATAAGGTTTTCAATGCTTAGTGTTTGAAAGTAGATCACCAATTCTTTTTCTGAATTGCCTTTGGGGCTCAAATCTCTAATTTTTGGTTAGTATCCAAGTGCATAAACTGTTTGACACCCAGGGTCTTCATGGCTATAAATAATCATCCACAGAAGTATTTTTCAGTCTTTTTTAATTCCCCATGCTGTCATCTTACTTAGAATAAGATATGGGAATAATAACTGGCCAATGGCCTTGGGCATAGTAAATCTTTCAGGTTCCCTAACATTATGTCACCAGTACGGCAGGCCTTGATGTTTAGATAAGGGGTCCTAGTTGTTGATGGAAAGAGACATGATACCATAAGCACTATTCTCAACTCTAAAATTCCCAGACTAAACCTTAAAATGTATACATGGCCTCCTGGCCTATACTTCCTTGCCATATATTACTACTTTTGCCGCTTATTGATTAGTATGCAACTGGTCAGCAATTCAAAGCATTAGTCCTGAGCAACCTACCTTGCCTGAGTGAATCATTCCAAATGGGTATGAGGGCAAAAATTCCAAAACTTGGCGCTATGTACCAGGGATATAGTCTTAAGGCTTTGGCCTCAGATTCTGGCCAGGACACTGGCACACATGGCCTCTTCTATTTTCTCATGGAGAAATGAGTTTTCTATTTGAGTACATTGATAAGAGGATAGCAGTGGTACAACAGTGGAGTTGCTGCTGCTGACCCTTCTTTTTGACTTTATATCCAGAGTGACATTCTCATTGGTGACACGTTAGTATGAAAAATAAATACAGGGCACTTAAAAGAAATCCAGAATCGGTTGTGAGTGTCTACTTTTTAGAATCATTTCCTGCGCTATAAAAGATTTCCTTCCTAATAAGATTTTAGTCCCTTTTAATTATTTTGATTCTCTTGGTGGCTTGTACTATTGGATTTTATTGGTTTCGATATACAGTACAATTTTACTATTTTAAGAAAATTCATCCCCACATAAGGTTATGGTTTTTTGCTGTCTTGTGTTGCTAAGTTGAATCAGCCTTATTTGTACTCCCTTATTACTTACCAAATTGAGTTCATTATTAAATGATCATTGTTTGAAAGATCTTTACCTCGAAAAAGGTTCAACATATGGAAAGATATATAGTAGTAGCTCAGTATCCACAGGGGATTGATTCTAGTACCTCTGTGGATCCCTGAGATTTGCAGATGCTCAAGGCCCTTATATAAAGTGGTATTGCATTTGCATATGGCCTACGCATTATTCTCCTTTATACTTTAAATAATCTCTGGATTACTTACAAAAATGAATACAATGTAAGTGCTATATAGATAGCACTTTGTGCTCCCTCAGCGCTTGAAGAATTGCTTTGACCAGTTAATTAAATGGCCCCCTTTTTTCATGTTTTCTATCTCTGTTGGTTGAATTGAAGATATTGAACGTGCAGGATGCAGAGGGCTGTACAATAGGCCCAGGTCCACAGACTACAGCTAATGGTTCAAAATCAATCATTTGCCTATTTTTGTAATTAAAAATTTATTTTAAATGAAGGCTTATTGGAACATAGCTGCATAACATCATTTACATATTGTCTGTGACTCTTTTCATGTCAGGTTGGCAGAAAGTAATGATTGCAACAGAAACCTTGGCCTATAAAACTGAAAAGTATCTATCTTGCCTTTTACAGGAAAAGTCACTTAACCATTTGTATCACTTAACCATTAACTTATTTTGTATCTTAGTCATTTTTATGACACAAGTAAGCACATGTATTTGGGTTATTATTTTAGGCTATTTAGGGGAGATAAAAGTGATCAAAATTAATTTCTAGTTATTTTAGATAGAAAATGAAAGCATTCAAATGTGTGATATTTGATTCCTATCGAGCTGTGTGAAGAAGCTTAACAGGAAAGAGTAGCAATCTGTATTCACCTTTTCCCCCCACCTTTTTAAAAGATTTTTTTAAAGGAGTAAACCTTGGTTTAAACAAAGCCAGTACTTTAAAAATTCTTAATTTTAATAAGGTTATTCTAGGGAAATTGTTCAAAATGATAGTCATTTTATAAAAGTATGTAATAGTCGAACCAGAAAGTAGTCCATACAGGCTATCTTAAGCACTCCAGGACTTTGATTGATCAGTGTATGAATTGATTTTATTCTTTTCTTTGTTCCCCAAACACTTTGATGTAATAAAATTTTGATTTATTCTTAAGGGATTTCAATTTACACACCAATTTTGAGAAGGCTTTCTATTATGCTAAAGTGCAACATAATGGTCCTATATATAAGCTTTTTCAAAGACATTTAGAGACTTCCAAATGTAAGGATTTTTCTTTTGGCTTTTTAATTCAAAGCTACACACTGTTATGGAATATAAAAGCCATTGAATGGCTATCCTTTTAACTTCTAGTTGAAAGCCAGATATACTTTTGTTTGAAGTTATCTAGCTTTGTTACAAATAAATGGCATAAAAAATGTTCTCCATTTTGTTGTGATTCATCTTCGTATTTTAAGAAGCATGAAATTGTTCTGCTTTCCTTTCCCCTTGTTTGTTTGTTTGTTTTCTTACTGAGTACTACTGGGCTAGGTCTAGTTTAGTGCCAATTTTACATCCAGAGTTGCACAGGGGGAGATGTTATGGATGAGAGTGGTTGAAACAGTAATCTGCAAGAATAAATCTAAGAAGAAATCCTAGGGCATCATAAGTTCTTCTACCCATTCCTTTCTCTGCAGCAGCTAAGGGTGCACACAGAAAACTGATAGCAGGGGTCATGTCTGATTGCAGCATCTCAATATCATGAGTTCTTGACTATGGATAGGATTTATTAAAAGGCAACAAGAGATTAAAATGTATGCTCATTTCTTGAACGTACATGAAACTGATGACCAGAAGAGAGAGCCTGGAACTTCTAAACAACCACCATTAAAGCAGGCTGTTCTCAGTATGGGGTGCTTCCTAGTACCTAGTGTTTCCTTAGATTCACTTTATTGTGTCTGAGATAACTGCACTTCGTAAGAATAGACAATTGGCCAGTTTTCTGTTGTACCACTTCTAGGTCTTTATTTTATCAAAAATGACAAGTGCATTTGGTGTAAAATTCATTACGTATGAGAGAGGCTCTCTTAATATTTGGACATGGTGGTCTACACCTAGGACATTTGGCACAAATAAGGTGCACATGTAAACAATGCATCTAACCATATAATGCATAGAAATGAACAAATTAAGTCAGGTACTTCTGGCATAAATGCTTGTTCTATTTTGGTAAAAATATAGCAGTAAGTGCTTACTGGATACAAATGAAAAAGAAAACTGAGCAGCCATTAAGAGGCCAATCTAAATCTCTTGCGGTACTTATCTCAAGATCCTGTACCCAGGCTAGAAAGAAATATACTGAAAATAAAAACAGTTGCTGTCAAGGCAATTGCGATTCATGGCAACCCCATATGGCACAGAACATAACTATTCCATAGGGGTTTCCAGGCTGTTACCTTTCAGAAGCAGATCAACAGCCCATTCTTCCAAGGTGTCTTTCAGGGGGTTCAAATATCCCTTGATTAATAGGCCTGCTACTTTACTATTTGTGCCACTCCCCCAAGGTGGTAGAGAGGCATTAATATAAAAATGAAATCAAAGAAGAAAAAAACCAAGGACAATAAACCCCCTGATGCTAATTTGCTGGGGGTGGGGTGCTGATTTAGTAGGGGGAGAAAAAAAGAGGAATACTGACAATTTTTATGGAAAGGTTTCCAAGAAAGAACCGCAATAAAGAAGAATGCATGACTACTGATTCACACAATGGCATGGATAAATATGACAGACCTCAAAGCCAGACAAAATAAATATCACAGACTTAAAAGCCAGACACAAAAGAGTGCATACTGGATGGCTCCATTTATATAAAGTGGAAGAACAACCAAATGTAATCTGTTGTGATAGAGGGCAGTCAGGAACCTGGAGGGGACAGTGGTATTGTGTGGGAAAAGAGTACATGGGAACCTTCTAGGTGCCAGAAATTGTCTGTATCTTAATCTGAGTGGTGGTTTCAGGGATGTATAATTGTGTATAAAAATTCATCAAGAACCCTACTTTTTGTGCTTAAGGTTTGTGAAGTTCAGTGTCCCTGTGGGATAAGGATTGGGTTGCTAACCACAGGTTGGCGGGTCAAACCCACCAACTGCTCCGTAGGAGAGAGATGATGCTGTCTGATCCCATGAAGATTTATAGACTCAGAAATCCCACATGAGTTGCTATGAGTAAGAATTGACTCATTAGCTCAGAGTTTGCGTTTGTTGGAGGTTTTGTTTTTGCATAAGGTAATAAAAATTAAATAATAAAATCAGTTCAGGGCAAGTGGAGGGTCACTTGGTTTAACATGAATGCTTAGCAGAGTCCCTGGTTGAAGAGCATGGTAAATCCCGGGCCTAGCAGTTCTGTCCTTGTCTTACCCTCTTTTTTTTTTTTTTAAACTTGCAACAATTACTCTTAATTTCCAACATCAAACATTTAAAATTCCAAAGGATGCATCATAGGCACTATGATCCAATTCTATTGGATTTTGGATGCCTTACTCCCTAAAAGCAATGATTTTCTTTTTTTTTTCCTTTCCAGATTGGCAGATTGCTACTCTGGCTTTACTCCTGGGCGGTGCTGCCATCATTCTTATTGCATTCCTGGTGGGTTTGATTTCGATCTGCGTGGGCTCTCGAAGGCGCTTCTACAGACCTGTGGCTGTCATGCTTTTTGCAGCAGGTAAATATATTCAT